AAGTGAGTCTCAGCAATTTAGCGAGGCTCTAAGCAATTCAGAGAGACCCTGTCTTTACATAAAATATAAAAAAGGGCTGGGGCTATAGCTCAGTGGTTAAGTAACCCTGAGCTTAATCCCCGGTACCCCCCCCAAAAAAAATCCTATAGGAAAAGTCAAAATTAGAAGATGAAAACTGATGGCTAACATTAAAGATTTCAATTTACAGTATAAATTTGCTTCTGCTAATGAAAATCTCAGAAGGTCAGATAGTATGGGCTGGGTTTGTGTTTCCACGTGGTAGAAATCAGCCTGAGTTGCTGGAGGCTTGTTCATCCTAATCCTGGCTTGACTGTTTCCTCACTTGCATTAGGTCTCTGGTTCCTATAAGTATTTGAATTTTCAACTCCTGATCCAAATGGTAGTTCTATTTTAAAGACTCTTTAAGGATCATGTGATGATTGAAAAATGAAAGGGTCTAGTTAAATGTTCAGAAGGAATCCATTGAAATTATGTCTACTAAACAGTAGATACTAACTTTATCTTTTACCAGGCCACCAGGAAACCCTCCCCGAAGAATGGGTCGAATCAATCATCTTCAGGGCCCCAGCCCTCCCCCAATGGGTGGTGGATGAGGAAGGTAACTTAAAATCTGAAATTATTTTCTAAGCTTTTATTTTGAAAATGGCTCCTTAGGAATATTTTCTTTAGGAAAACTTAAGTCACTCAACATTTTGTAATTACTCAGACATTGTTTCGGAAAATATTTCTGACTTAACCCTTAGGCAGTTTGTCAACTTTGTTATCAAAATGTCTTTTGAGAAAGGTATTATAACCCCATGTAACATGTTGAGCTTTATATAGGTCCAATTGAATAACTGTTAATATTACAATCTTTCTTTTAGGTAAATGTCTGCTCTAAGAAGCAGACAACTAAACGTACACATTCATAGAAGAAGGAAACCATTAAGAAGCGGAGGGCTACCATGCTAGACAAGTGGAGGAATGTGTACGTCTATATAAGGATTGCTCTGTGTCCTCACAGATCAATGAGGTCATGCTGGGAATTCCCTCTGCAGGGATCTGGCCTGACTGACATGCAATTCCATAAATGCACATGTTTGTCTCATTATCTTTTTTGTATAGTCTATTAAAGTATTAATATAGTTTTAATAAGTAAATATTTTTAGGTTGTAAAACTGGTTCCTCATCTTTATATAATTAATCACAAAACACTCTAAACCTGAAGAAAATAAAGGCTGCATATTCAGTGCTTGTGTCCCTTTTTTCAACTGTACATGGTTAATTTGTTCTTGTGTTTATTTCAATAGTATGCATAAAATCTGTGCTCTTGAATTAATTTTTGTCTTTAATATAATTTGTCCCATCATGTCTGATTTGCTATCAGGTATAATTATCAGGGTTCTTAAAAAGCTATTGCCAACAAACCTGAACTTCAAAATGGAGATTTGCTGCCTAATCTTTAAAACCATAGACTTTGATGTTATCTCAACAAATTTGAATTCTATACAACTTCTTAGGATTCTGCCTATTGGCTTTAAATACCATCCGAATACAGATAACTTTCACAGTTTTCACTAAGTGGAAAGCTCTATGAGACTAGGAATTTTGTCTTTGCCACAATCCTTTGAACAATGATTACATGTAATAGGCACTGACATATTGATTAGTAAAATGAATGATACAGATAATTCTATTTCCAATGTATAACAGGCTTTGAAACCAAAGTGATTGGGTTAAAGCTTTTAAGAATAAACATTTATCAATATTTATTTAACCCTGTTTGTCAGGAAATAGGGTTGTAGTAGCGTAAGACACTGTTTTTCAAAGATAAGGAAACAATTATAAAACAAGTTTTAGAATAAGGAAAAATATTTTGACAGCTCAATTCTGCTAGGCATCTTTTACACATTTTTTTCTGACAAAATGAGGTCGGTAGGTAGGTGATAGTTAAGTTATAAAGATACATGCAAGTGCTCAGTAAGTTTAGTAACTCTACAAGTTGTGTGGCAAGAGAATGGCAGAGACATTTTGTTAAACCTTCACCTGACCATAGTGGGAGAGATCACTGTAGAGGCCACAAAGGTGGTAGCTTAGTGTTACCAAAGGCTTCTGAGCATGTGACCTATGACCGACCCTCTTGCCTCCCAGGACTGCTGCTGCAGGACTCCTTCCTCTGGGCTTCTCCCCTCCCCACCAATCCTGATTGCAACTGACATTTAGCTGTCCTGCTCCATACCTAGGTTTATTGTCTTAATGCAGAACATAGCCAGTCGAGGAGCTTGTGTTGAAATCTTGTCTTTGTTATTCATTAACTTATGATTTTCGTTTGGGTCATTTTGTCCCAGTTTACTCACCTACCATGTGCTGAAGGTAACAGGATAAGGCAAAGTCTCTGGTGAAGCTTCTAGTCCAGTGTGAGACAGTAAACAAGCAGGCAAGATAACAACAGACTAATGCTTCATTTGTACTTCCAAGGAAATAGGAGGATAGGATAACTTGGGAAGGCCTAAGGCGGCATTCAAGTGAACATATACAGGATGATTCTGGGAAACGCTTGGCATGTCAGAAAAATCAAGTATTGCTAGAAATGCCAAGGAAAATTGGTAGAAAGTGAAATTAGAAGTGTGGCAGGATCTTGATGAAATATGGCCTTAATGATGGTGATCTGTTTCAATTATGTCCAAAGAGTGAAGGGAAACCATGAAAGTATAAAGAACGGGTGTGACATCTTGTTTTTGTTTAGGATAACTCACAAGATTTTACTAAGTGGAGTGCTGGAAACAGTATTGAACTTTTTTAAAATAGTAACACTTGGGCAACTGCAGGACTTACTTGTATGGGGGACAGGGCTGGAAAAGAAGTCTAGTTATTGTACTAAGTATATGAAAAAATGCTCAATATCTTTAGCCATCAGGGAAATGCAAGTCAAAACTGCATTGAGATTCAGTCTCACCCCCATCAGAATGTTTCACCCCAGGCTATGATCAAGAATACAAAAAAGAGCCCTTGTGGTGGTACATGCCTGTAATCCCAGAGGCTAGGGAGGCTGAGACAGGAGGATCACAAGTTCAAAGCCAGCTTCAGCAACTTCGAGGTAAGCAACTCAGTGAGACCCGTCTCTAAATAAAATACAAAATAGGGCTGGGGATGTGGCTCAGTGGTCGAGTGCCCCTGAGTTCGAGTTCAATCCCTAGTACCAAA